CACACACACACACACACACACACACACACACACACACACACACACACCTGCACAGACACCCACGCATACGCCTGTTCGCACTGATACACCCAAGCGCATAGACGCAGCTCTGACCCCCCCCGCAGGCAAGAGAAATGAGCCGAGGGATTTCCCCCAGAGATAGATACCGGGCAGGTGTCCTTCTTCCTGGAGTCGGTGCACATCATCTTCTCTGTGATGGTGTTGTCATGGTGGATCCTGCGGTTGCAGATCTCCCGGCTGATCACCGGACGCGCCACCTGCTGCAGTTTGTCAGGCAGCTTCCCGCTGTGGCTCATTTCACCCCAGCCGGCCACCTCGCACACGGTGTCAGCAGGGACAACCCTGTCTTGCCTCTGGAAGGGCAGGATCTTCACATGCTCGTTGAGGAGCGCTTTCTCCTCTAGCTGATTTGGGAGGCAAAGAGGCAAGGGTCACTCGGGGTGAGAGAGACAGACTCTGTAGCTGTAACGCTGCCCCTGGCTGGGCGCTCTGCGGGGATAAAACCCGGGACCTCTGGATCTTCCAGCAGGAGTCTTTCTACAGCTTGAGCTAAAAGGACCAGGAGGGGACTCAAACCTGTACCGGGTGTGGCCACTAGAGGGGGACAGAGCTGTGCTGCGTTAGCACAGGGTACGTGACGATCACCTGGGAAATACCCCAACTAATGGTGACGGGACACGGGTGCCGACTTTCATTTTTCCAGGTGGGTGCGCCACCCCCGCTGTGCCCTGAGGCCCTGCCCCCACTCTGCCCCCCAAGACCCCACCCTCACTCCGCCTCTTCCTGCCCCCACTCCACCCCCTCCCTCCAGCGCCTACCAGTGGATCGGAGGGTGGCTGATGGGTGCTGAGCACCCACTATTTTTTTCCCCTGTGGGGGCTCCAGCCTCGGAGCACCCACGGAGTCAGTGCCAATGTGACTGAAGTCCCTGCTGCAGCCGTGTGGGGAGGGTTCTCCCTCAGCTGGTGGATAGAACGGGCCCTATCCTTGCCGGTGCCTTGGGCTTCATCCTCCTCTCCCTTGCAGTGGGGTGAATCAGGGGTGACCCCAGCCAGGGATGTCCGTGGGGTATCAGGCCTGTTGGATCTCAGCCCAGTCAAGCAAGACTCAGCTGTGAAATCAACAGGAGTTCGGTGCCTGTGAGGAGCTGGGCCTGGCCCGAAGCCCACGGGAGTCAGTGGGAGTTTCCCCCCCCCATTGACTCCAGTGGGGTCTGGGAGGCGCCATGTCTGCAGCGGGGGATGGTGCCGCTGTGGGTCGTGCTCACCTGGAGGAGAAGGAGGTCGTCGTCGTAGGTCTCCGTGCTGCTGCCAGGGTGGCCGATCTCCGCGCGCACCTCATAAAGGCGCTTGTGCAGTTCTGGCTGCGAGAGAGAGTGGGCTCCCAGGAGGACCTGGAACGGCTTGCCTTGCCTGCAGTCGAGATGGAGATGGTAGCGTGAGGCGCTCTGCTCACCCACGGCACTGAGCTGCGAGACCGTTCCGGTCCCTCCCGGCTGTACAGTTCACCCCAATATACAGCGATCGCCAGTAGTCAACCTCTGCCTTTCCCCAGCCATGGAGAGTCAACCCAGACTACCCTGCCTGTGGGCCCAGCCCCGGCTAGGAAGGAACATGTGTTCCTTGGGTGACAGGGGAATCCAGCCTCAGTATTGTTGGGCCCTGGGCTTTCCCTTCATAGTGACCCTCAAACGACCCTCAAACAACTACCGGGGTCTGTATTAGAACCAGTTGGCCCCAGCCTCCACGCCCCCTTTCTCTCCCGCCCCGCGCTCCTGCCCCATCAGACGCGAAGGCCGGTACTCACTTGTCTTCCAGGCAGTGAGCCGCGCTCAGCACCCACTGCTCGGCGATCAGGAACCCGCCGCACACATGCTTCCCATCCACCTGCAGGGAAGCCATGTAGGGTTTCAGGTGGGGAGGAGCTTCGTAGCCCCCGAGAATACGGCCCCTGGGGCGACCCCCTGATGGGAGGAGAAACAGAACGTTAGCCACTGAACCTGCTCTGCCCAGCCTTCCTTGCCTGTGGAGCGTCTCCCCTTAGCGTTAACGGTGAGCACATCCAGAGCAGGGCATCTAGCTAAGGGACGTATCAGGCCCTCATTCCCCAGAGGGGGTCTGAGCATCTTCTCTTCCGATGGATGAGAAACAAGAATTCTGTTTCGTGGACAGTTTGTTTGTGTTCTCCAGCAAGACCTTTAGAGGCCCACCCCAGAGCAGCCAGCTGGTTGGGGCGCTCCCCTGGGGTGTAAGACAGACAGGTTTGAGACCCTCCTCTGCCTGATTCAGTTACAAGGGCGTGTTTGCCTTCAAGCACAATGGGGGAACTGCGGGGCAGGCAGGTTGGACCCTCAGCAAGTGCTCGGATGTAACGCATCTGTATCGTCACTTACGAGTCTCTCTTGCGATGGGCTGAAATCGGTCCAGGATGAGTCAGCCGGTTTCTATCACCTTCCCCCCTGGCTTTTTAAAAACAAACGCAGGGCAGAGCGTGTGTTAACCAATCAGACTGCCTGTGCAAATAATGGTCAAAAATAGTTTTGCCCAGGCTCACGGTGCAGCCGATTGGATTGTGTCTGCAGAGCTCTGCTGGCTGGTTGGACAATCAGATTTTTTTCCCCTGGACCTTTGAAAATCTCTCTCCCCTTCAGCAACTTGAAGAAGAAGAAGAAACTAAAAAGAAAGCCCCACGTACGAAATGTGAGATGCTTCCAGGTGTTTCGGATGAAAATTTTTCCGAATGTTCTGCAGCAGTGGATTGACTGCATGCTTGGGAGAATAGCAGGAGGCCTTAGTCAATATTCACCAACGGCCAGTACCTGCCTCCACCATGGGAAAGATCCGCACCTGATTCTAGTACATGATCCCAGCTCAGCGACCTAGAAGAAGATGAACAGTGCCCCCAGCCCCCACCCCATCTCAGTCCCTGGTATGGAGGAAACCTCAGCTGTAGATCCATCCAGCAACAGTCACCATGGTATCCCAACCCAAGGGGAGGCTGTGTTGCCTAGTGGCTAGTGCAATGGGCTGGGACTCAGGAGAGGTGAGTTCTGCCACTGATCTGCTGGGTGACCGTGGGCAAGTCACTTCCTGTCTCTGGGCCTCAGTTTCCCCATATGTAAAATGGGGGCCGTGACCCTTCCTTTGGAAAGCGCTTGGAGATCCACAGATGAAAACACACTCATTAGCCTCGTCCTATCTAGACCCCAAGATGCTTTTTGGTTTCCAGGGAATCAGCTTCTATTGCAGCAAAAAAAATCAGGGCAGGTGAGCGGATTCCACACCCAAACTTTTCTGTTATCAACTCCACCACCCCCATCTCTCCCCAGATAGGCAGGGTATTTAACCCGCCTTTCCCCACCCCCACCCCCCTCACAGTTTTGCCCCAGCAGAAATATGTTTTGTTCTATGCCTCCCTCAGTTTACCCGCATTGTCTCAAACTGCCTCCCCTCTCCACCCTCTGCTCAGTGCAGGACTCCCTGGCTGAGTATCTCTGGCTTGTGCAATGCAGGAGCTCAGATGATTCCTTTTGGCTTGCAAAAAATACCTGCACCTGGTGGCCTCTGGGAGTTGTGTCCTGAGAAGCCCACCCTAGTTTATGGGTTTAGGCGTTTGGGAGACAGAGCCTGATGAAGCTGCATTGTCTATAGGTTTGAGACAGGGTTCTAGTCCAGATTCTGACCCGGATTCACAGGGTGAGCTAGGCCAAAGCATTCCACCTCTGTGCCTCAGTTTCCCTGTCACGAGGGGGGGTTGTGAAGCTGTATTGTCTATAGATAAGATTAGATAGAGGGTTGGTAAAGTGCTTTGAGATCCTCAGCTGGAAGGGGCTGGAGAAAGCTGCTGAGGCGATAAAGTTCAATTGTTGCCCCTTGATGTAGCAAGGAAGCACATTACTACGGCTCAGATACCCAACTGCTTCACTTATTGTGTCAGTTCTTAGTTAGGCATGCCCTGTGGTGCCCACCTGAGCCCCTCCCATGCAGTCCCGCGTCACTCTCTGCCATGGCCGGATGAGTCAGAAAAGAGAACAGGGAGTATGGGAAGGGTCAGAGAACGGATGCACTCACCACACACCGAGATGCCCAGCAAAACAACCAGAGCTAGGAAGGGCGAAAGGTGACCCATGCTGGCTGCAGAGATGCGGGTGGATCTGTCTCGAAGTCAGGGGCTGTGTCTTGTCTTGATAGTGGCGGCTCTGCTGGGAGTGAGAGCGGAGACCTCCCTTTTATAACAGAGCTTTGGGGGTGGGGGATGAAGGGGAAAAAAGGAGATTTCCAGGAAAGCGAGAGTTGGGAGGAAATTTGCAACAGCTGTTGAGCGCTCAGCCTGGAACGGCCTTTTGGTTGTAGCGGTGCCAGGGGCTATCTCATGATTTCTCAACACAAACAGCCCAGGGAGGAAGCAGCCCAGCCCAGCCCAGCTGCTGAACCTGGCCTCCCTGGAAGGGGATTTCTGCATTGTTTGTTTGCTCTTCAAACACAAAAGGGCAGGCAGAGTTCAGTCCCCAACTGCTCATGTTTGAAGAACAAACAATGGAAAAATCCCCTTCCCTGCCCGCAAAACTGAATGGGCCATTGAGTGAACTTCCTCCTTAGCAAAGCTCCTTCCAGGATAGGCCAAGTCACTGGAGGAACCGCTGCAACCTGATTCCTCTCTCTGCGCACCTGTGCTGGGGAGGAAGCCAGGACTTTGGTCTCCAGGGCTGCAAGCCAGCACCTTTTTTTGCCCCTGTTAAATTCAGTGGTGGGGTTATGGCACCCCTCTGCTAGCCCTAGACCTGGGGCAAGGCCGTGAGACAGAACTTTGGCCAAGGGAAGGGGATTTAGGGGAGGCATCGCCTGAGATCTCAGGGAAGCCACCCAGTGGCTATTAGGGTAAGAGCAAAGGTGGCCAAGTGACACTGGTAAATCTGGAATGTAACTGGTCAGAAAGAAAAGTAAAGGGCTGGTGTGAGTGAAAGGGAGAAAGTGTGGGTGTGTGTTCAGAATGTTTAAAACAGATAAAAGGAAGTTCTTCTTCACACAGCGCACAGTCAACCCGTGGAACTCCTTGCCTGAGGAGGTTGTGAAGGCTAGGACTATAACGGTGTTTAAAAGAGAACTGGATAAATTCATGGAGGTTAAGTCCATTAATGGCTATTAGCCAGGATGGGTAAGGAATGGTGACCCTAGCCTCTGTTTGTCAGGGGGTGGTGATGGACGGCAGGAGAGAGATCACTTGATCATTACCTGTTAGGTTCACTCCCTCTGGGGCACCTGGCATTGGCCACTGTCGGAAGACAGGATACTGGGCTAGATGGACCTTTGGTCTGACCCAGTACGGCTGTTCTTATGACATCGTGTTTTGGAGAAGGTCATGATTTAGGGCCAGATTCCCAAAGGGGTTTAGGAGCCTAAAATGAAGCTAGGAGCCTAGGCCCGCATCCTCACAGGTGTTTGGGCCCCTGGCGCCCATTGATTTCAATGGAAGTTATCACCTAAATACGTTTGACAATCTGGGCTCTAGTAACTTCCAATGGGAGTTAGGCACCTTCCCTGCTGTAAACCCCACTAGGCACCTAAATATCTTGGTAAATCTGGCCTTTACGTGTCCCTCATGGTCGCCCCTGTCAGTATTCCCCAGGGCCGAGTCCGGGTGGAAGTGGGACACAAACTCTCATGACTTGGGGTACTCAACTCTAAAATTAAAATCTGAAGATAAAACTGCCCCTGGAGCAATAGATTTAGACGCAAACGGAGCAATGTAAAGGATCCCAGCCCAGGGGCAGTGGGTGCTGTCAACAGAGAGGCATCAGAGGTTGTTCTAATGGAGCTCCAGTTTTCTTGGGAGCCGGACTGCAGCACCCGAAAGGACCTTGGACCAGATGCTTTTTATCACAAGGCAAGTGACCCTGGCTATACTGGCGCGTCTGGCTGCAGAAGACTGGCCAGCCGAGAGGAATCTGATGTGTCTGGCAGAGATAACAAAGAATGAAATATCCTGCGAGGAAAATGCAGAGGCGCTAAGCCAGAGAGTGGAAGGCCGAGCCCCTGCCTGCTGGAGTGATCAGCTGAGTGAGTCAATGTTTGCCACGCAGGCTGCAGAGAGGTGTGGCGCAGCCTCCATTATCAGTTCATCCAAGTTCGGGGTCCAGCGCTCCTTACTCCAGAGGCCTCCGCTGGTGCAAACTGCAGCCCCTCTGCAGCTGCATGGGTCAGAGAGTTCAGATGAAGTGGAACCACAATGACCCAAGTCAGCCAAGGAGAGCAAAGTGGTGTAGCACTGGTCAGTCCACCCCAGTGGGTAGGGGGCTCGTCTGGGACTGGAGAGACCCAGGATCAAGTCCCCACTCTGTCCTCAGACTCCTAGGTGACCTTGGGCAAGTCACTTAGTCTTTCTGTGCCACCATTCCCCAAATATAAACCTAGGGAGACTAGCCCTGCTCTACCTCACAGGGATGTTGTGAGGGGCAGGGGTTCTCAACCTTTTTCTTTCTGAGCCCCCCTCCCTGCTCACCAACATGCTATAAAAACTCCACGGCCCACCTGTGCCACAACATCTGGTTTTCTGCATACAAAAGCCAGGGCCGGAGTTAGGGGGTAGCAAGCAGGGCAATTGCCTGGTGCCCCATGCCAAAGGCCTCCCCCCCATGAAGCTACATGGCTCAGGCTTTGACTACAGCCCTGGCTGGTGGGGCTCAGAGCCCTGGGCTTCAGCTCTCTACCCTGGGCCCCAGCGAGTCTAAAGCTGGCCCTGCTTGGCAGCCCCCCTGAAACCTGCTCACAGCCCCCCAGGGGGCCCCAGACCCCTGGTTGAGAACCACTGCTCTAGAGAGAGGGGAAAGGGAGGGAACCTAGTCTGTTCTGTAGGTTTTTATACCATGCCCGTGACCGTAGTATCGGAGCGCCTTCCAGTGGTGCATTAAGCAATGTGACGAACGTCTCTTCGCCTGGTGAGTGTTCTCTCCTCCTCTCTCCAGGCCGGTTGCTGTGCTGTGCCCAGGGGCCTACGTTTATCAAGAAGGCAGGGATCCATGGTACATGGCAAGCCCACGAGATCCACCTGAAGCACGGAAGAGAGCATGCGGAGGAGCAGAGAGCATGGTAAAGCAATGAGGCTGGGCTATGGGGGTCTTATTCTCCCGCCATTCTCATCTGTGCCACTAGGTGGGGCTAACGCCTCGGTTTCCATGCCAGGCTTGGGTCCCCAAAAACCAGGTTTGACTAATGCTTCAGAAGGGGCGCAGAGTCCCTCCCCAAAGGGGGGCACATTCCACGCATCCCTGCTGTGTTTTCATCCCCTTTATCTGGGGGGAGGGACGGCTGGAGACTCGGACGCAGTTCTGAAATTCCAGGGGTTGCGCCAGTTTCCTGGCAAAGAGGCCAAGAGCCCCACGCTTTAGACTTTGCCCAGATGAGCTTGGAGAGAGAGAAACCACCAGGTTTCAGTGACAAGAAAATTAATTCAAACACAATCGAGTAGAAACAGTTGTTTGTAAACGAACAGGAAGCGCTTGCAACCCAAATACTGGAGCTGGATCGGCTTCCGTCTCAGCCTGGCCTCGCCTGAGAGCAGACCAGTGAAACCTGCTTCACCCTTGTATGTGAGACGCTCTCGTTACTGTATTACACTTCTCGAGCGCCTTTCATGTCAGGGTTTCAAAGTACTCCGCAGAGGAGGGTGAGTGTTGTTATTGCCTTTTTTATAGAGAGGGAAACTGAGGCAGAGAGAGGCGAATGAAGTACCTTGCCCAACATCGCACAGCAAGTGACAGGCAGAGAACCCAGGAGTCCTGCTTGCAGTCCAGCACCCTATCTTCCTGTCCATCTGCCTTCTATGAAGAGTTTGGCAGATACTTGTAAGCTGTCCACCTCCTTGGTGTCTAGATACCGTACCAGACGTGGTTCTGATCTCGGATCAATTTCAGACAACCTCCCTCTAGCCAGAGTCTTAGAAATCTGTTTAAATAAGACATCAGAGCCTTTATACTGAGGTCAGGAGCTCCTGAATTGCCAATTTAGGCCAAGGACAGATGTTGTTCCTCAAATGAGACTATTTAAAGCCCTGGAGACCAACGTGTGACCAAACCTGAGCCTGCTGGTCCCACTAGCACTTCACCCGGTGAGAGGCCTTTGTAGATTTCATGAGGGGAATTCAGTGCAAGTTTTTGACATAGGGATTCATTAGGAAATGTGTCACATTTCCTCTCCTCCTTCCGCAGCCGCCACCCGCGTTGGCCTTCTCCTTAAAATACAGTGCACGTGGGAAGGTGAGCGGGACGTCCGGTAAGTGTCACTCCCAGAGAGGGAGGATGAAAGAGAGCTACGGGACTTTAATAAAAGCCTCTCGCCGGCTCTGACGTGGATCTGTGTGATAGCGGTTCTATTGCGCCACGAGGGTGAATACCAAGGGAACCTGGCCCTTTGCTCATTGATGGTTGTGTAATACAGGAGGAAATCTGCTGAAGTCAGTGTCAGTGCGAGTTTAGGGTCACGCCTGCTCTGTGCACTGTTGTTCCTGTAAAGGTGATGAGCCAGATCCTGGTAGTATAAAGTAGCTGTGAAGCTATGGGATCTGGCCTCCTGAGGATTCCCCCTCTCCATGAGAGTGCTTCTGGGGTGCAGAGCCCCCATACATTATTCTCCCTTGCAGCTCCCCCGCCCCCAGCATAGGGGGAGTTCCCAGGAGACGGGGCATGGCAGGGGCAATCCCTACCCTGCCAGAACAGCCCCTTGAGGTTATGAGTGTAAATTGGAGCAGCTCTGAACTTGTTTTAATATATGCTGGCAATTAGACAGGCCCCAGATCAGGGAGTTCAAAGCTGGCTTAAAGCCGCCTTTACCCACCTCCTTTGGGTTGTGTACAGCTCAGCCTGGCCAAAAGACGGGGGGTGAGAGAGAGACTGTGGCTCGGATTAGCTTTGAGGATCTAGGCCTGTCTGTTTGCCATCCCAGCCCTGGGCTCCCCACGCACCGCTCTGCCAGTGCCCCTCCGTCCTGACCCGCAGCCCCATCCTGCTATTCCAGTCCTGGGAATTCACTCAGCTAACATGACTCACGTCAAACCCCCACGCCTCGATAAACAAAGCTGAGGGTGGAGTGCCGGGTTTGTTCCTCACATGAGTGGAGGTGACAGCAGTGTTCTTTAGAAACCTTCCCTGCATACGGAAAGCTGCTCTGGTTTGCCTGGTTTACTTGGGCGAAGGCTGTGATGCCAATGCTGAATCAAGGGAAAGAGCTTAATAATAATAGTAATTAATCCTATCTCTTCTCACCTGTAGATCTCAAAGCACTTTACAAAGGAGGCCAGTATCATTATCCCCGTTTAAAAGATGGGAAAACTGAGGCACGGAGCAGGGCGGTCACTTGCCCAAGGTCAGCGAGTGGCAGAACCAGGAACAAAACCAGGTCCCCTGAGTCCCAGTCCCGCCTAATTTGGCTCCCGCGTGACTAAGTCTTAAATGTCTGAAACATTTGACGAGAAGCGTGATCTTTCCTACCGAACTCGCTCACACATTGTCTAGCAGCGGCTGTAGTTCTGGGTTTGTACAGCGCCTAGCGCAATGGGGCCGTAGTCCACGACTGGGGCTCACAGGTGCGATGGGAAGCCAAAGAATAACGATAATATATCCCAAGGCAGAAGAGTCAGGATTCCTTTCCCGTCCCACTCACCCCCCATGAAACAAACTAAATTCTAGTTTTACAACACACGAAATCCAAACAGAGTCAGGTCAGGCTCCAACCCACTGTGAGGCTGTAGCGCGGCCCAGCCCGCCAATGTGCCGATTACAGAGCGCGTCACATCCCACTCTGTCAGTTACAGCAACAACAGACTCAGCTTTGGCAGAGGTTCTTATTGCATCACTCAAGTCAACTGCTCACGCTTAAAAGTTGCTCAACAATCAGAGGCGGGGGGAAGCTCACTTTGAATGGGGGGGGGCGAAGGGATACAAGGGGGGTGCTCTGCAGGGGGAGCTACTGAGACATGGTGAGGGGCAGGGAGCTGTCTCCAGGTGGAGACAGCTCCCTGCCCCTCCATTTCCATTGTCCCTATTAACAGTTATTCTGTTGGGAGAAGCTCTCCTGGTGGCATCTTTACTAAACACTACAGCTGTCCAGGGCTGGCTGGATTTGGTGCCCCCCCCATGTCTGGGTCTCAGATACTGGCTGCACGTCTTTCCCCCTCTAGATTCAGTTCCTGGACTCCACAGGGTCTGTTGGAAACCCTCAGATGCCGTAAATAACTCCCCTATGGTACAGAGATGCCCGACTCCGAGCTGGGGCTAATTCTGCTGCTCACTAAAGTACTGAGTTGTCAGTCCTCAGCTAATGCTGAAAAAAATCTGAGAAGAACCTTTAGCTGCTAGCATGGGCTTTCTCCCTGAATATTCTTTGGTATTTATAGTCTGGTTGCTAGATTTACACCTGTTGTTGTCAGGTTCACACTTTTATCTCCTGCTCCCTTCTTGCACTGTGCACAGCTCAGACACGCCTGAGACTGTGTGTGTGTGTGTGTGTGTGTGTGTGTGTGTGTGTGTGTGTGTGT